CCCGACAATTTTGAATTTCCCGCCCGCTTTCCCCGTCCGTGCTGCCCCGCGTGCCGCGCTGCCGAACCACGTGCCGCCGCGCCACTACTGGGTTGCGGGTCGAGTTGGGTCCGGGTTGAAATGTCCGGCCCGTTTGCAAAAACGGGTCGGGTCGAGTTCGACCCGAACCCGACGGGTTGACCCGAATTGACACCTCTAGGGTGTGCGACAGGGAAGGAGAAGCTTGGAGGATTCGTGTGTGAAGAAGAGGCAGAGAGCGGAGAGCCAGCGCCGAGTGACTTCGTTCACTCGGTATTTAAAGACCCGAATGGGAGCAGGATCGAGGAGCTATCGCAAGATTTGTGGGAGGCGACAGAAGCGGCGCCGAATACATAAAGAGTTCAGCGGGATATCTGCAGTATTTGCGCGGGTATTTCGGCAGATTTTATGGATCCGTCGGGTATGAGGTATGTGTATGCAGGAATTTTTTTTTTTTTTTTTTTTTTTCTTCTATACAGAGGTTAACACCAACCCAACCCTGATTTGTTCCATCTCGCTTTTCAAAGCATCCACCTTCTTGGTTATCATTTACCTTGCTCTGGTACCAATTTATTATGCCTTGGAAGCAAAAACAATAATAGAATGATAGAAAATCTGCAAGAATACTTAGAATAGTGGCTGATTTTGGGTTATAAATCAATACAAAAGCAAGATACAGTTGATCTACGATTCTAGAGGTAGATCAGCTCTCCCAAACAACCTAGAAACCGCTAGAAAGCCCTTAAAGAAAAATTACAACAAAACCAAACCAAATACATAATTCTCACCAAAAAAGCCCTTAAAGAAAAATAATCAACATAACTAACCCTAAATAACCTCTCCCTAATTCTCCCCAAAACATCCCTCTTTCCTTCATTATTTTTCTCTCCTATTTGAATTCAATTCAGAATGCTTTCCCTAAATAATTCCATCATTATTCATCTTTCTAACATAATAGATTATTTCTTTGTCAGGCCCCACAAGGGGGGCAAAAATTATTTCATAGATTCTATTGGACCGGTCCTTACTGGGCCGATTGGCTAGTTTCGGTTTCTACTGGACCTGTCATATCAGATTCATGTAGTTGACCCCACGTAGTACATTTGACATCAATAATTCAATTAATAACAATGGATTGGTAAGACTAGATAATAACACTGAATTTTATCTACAATGATTCGTGTAAAGTACATTTGACACTTCACTGGACACCTAATGAAACCTGCATAATAATGATTTGTTAGACAAGGAACTTTAACAAATAAGAAATGCAAATACATGTACTAGGCTAAAAAATGGATTAAAGCATCATAAACAGCTCCAAAATAGCTTTCATACTTTGTTTAAAATAAACACACATAATTAAGACATTCATAATATTCCCATGAAGGAGAAATAGGCAAGACAGGACTTTAACCCATATATATATATATATATATATGAAAACTGTCGTATAAAATACATTATAATAGATTGCGTTCTCTAGATTTTCCCTAATGTTTTTCGCAAAAAAGTTATACTCACCTAATCTATCCAATGTTCATCATTTTGAAATTATTACCGCCTATTTTGAATTGAGTATTGCTTTACTTAAGCAAAATTCAACATCAAATCAATCATACCAATATTATAATACATAGTTGCCCATTTTTCTATTTATTATATTTTGACTAGTTAAAAGTTCTTTGAAAATTCCAACAATTTCAAAGAAAGTCAAACTCTTGCAATGCAACCATTATGACCATCAATGAAAAGATTTTCCCTTAGCTAACCTAGTTCAGAATTACCTTCATATGGAGAAAAGACTAACTCACATACCTGCCCATGAGTACGAGACAACATTGGGATGTTAGCATTCTCCTTAGCCAAGTTAGATATTGTTTTACAGAGCTCAATCATCACAGGAAGGATGACATTATTAAGTGCCTCTTTCAGTGAAACCGCATAAGCCAAGTTGTTGATATCCTCAGAAGTGCATCCAAAATGAAAAAATTCCAGTACCTGAGACAAGGAAGTGATTGGCTAATTTTAAACTGCCAATAAGTAGTATAATCTTCCATTTATTTTAGACCAAAATATCAAGTAAAACATGGAAAGTAAAATACGACTTCAATATTTACCTCGGCAAGCTCTGAGCAGGATCTACATTTTTGTTTCAAAAAATACTCTATAGCCTTAACATCATGGTTAGTCTTCTCCTCAATTTTTTTCACTTCCAAGGCATCTTCTATGGAGAAATTATCAACTATTACTTTCAAGAAAGACCGGGCATCCTCACCTAATTCTGAAACCTCTTTAATCTCAGGAATTTCAGAAAGTTTTAAGAGCCACTTGATCTGAAAATAATAAGGAAAACGTCCATAGAGAAAAAAAGAAAAGATAGAAGATAATATTTGTTGGATTGCATGCTTAAAAAAAAACGATTTACAAAAGCAAGTGCATTAACAATTTCTTCCAATAGGTGTAGAAACCAATATCAATAGCTCTACCTCAATCATAACTCGGTAACGAATCAGCCCATACTCGCTAAAGAAGGGCCGCAAATTCTTGGTCTTTTGCGCATAGCGTCCATCTAAAGGTGACAAACCCATAATGCTGAATTCTCCGGAGTCATGAAACTCTTCTGAGTAACTCTGCCTTATCTGTTATATAAATAATGATTTGCATTAAACTGTATGTTAGTCAGCTTTTCAAATATAAACAAGTGCTAATCGCTATTAAGAAGATAATGCTGAACTTATCATTAAAACATAACATATAAGATATTGAATTATCCACATTAAAAATACATTACTTCACTGCAGAAATGGAAAAACATATAAGACAATGGCCTAAATATTGCTCTGAACACACTCCAGGAGATGACATCAATAGTCCATATAAGCATTTTCATGAACCTATGCTTCATACCTGTTCTGAAGAAAAGAGATTTTTTCCGATTCCAGTCAAATAAAGTCTAAATTGCAGGGTCATTATTAGGGCACGAACACTAAAGTTTACTGCTGAATTTGGTTCAGGAGAGAAAATTTCCAGTAAGAGAGAGTCACCTTAGATAGTTTGGTCACATAAAACGTGAGCCTTCGGATTTGGAATATGTTAAGAAAGGTAAAGGCAATCCTAAAAAAGACTTGGTTAGAAAAAATCAAAAATGTCCTTTTTTATTAGATTTAAATGAAAAATTGACTCTTAATATGACACAATGAAGAAAAAGAATTCATGTAGGCAACGCCACGCAGTGCAATAAAGACTTGATGTTGTTTTTGTTGTTGGAGAAAATTTCTAATAAAAAAAGGTCAAATCCTTCAAATGAACATGAAAGTTTGTGATATAAGAGTAATGCTTAGACTTTTGCGTGCATGAAGCAAAGGAAATCTATTATGCCTCCAAAAAAAAGTGAATATGAAGCCAGAAAAGCAGATCGAAAACCCAAAACAAAGGGAAAAAAAAAGGCAAACAAGATAAACAACTTGATGGGGAGGCTGGATTGGTGTGAAAGGTATAGGGTTGGTAGAAAGGGTTAAGAAATATTGCGCAAGTTATGGGGTTTTTGAACAAAATTCAGGCTGAAAATTTATGATGTTGATGGTAGAGTTATCTTTGGTACAAAAATTATGAGGAATTCTATATCAGAAGTTTAAGAAGTAAACTAACTAATGATGAAAATTAGATCAATAAGACGTGAGGTTAAGATATTAAGAATTTTCTTTATGGACTGGCCACAGCCTAAATTGTGTTTTGGTGAAAAGATTACGTCTCAATTTTTTAAGAGGCTATGAGGTTTGAGTTCTTAAGAAGATTATAAAGATGTGTAAGAATAAATCTGGAGGAGATGGATATGTTAGGCTTCGCAAACCTAGCTGTAATTGATTAGCACATTGATAATGCAGATGGGTAAGATTTTCATAAATCCGGAGAATTCAGCAATGGTGAAGGGTAATCTAACACTCGATCGATTGATTATGCAATTGAAAGCAAATTTAACGTGGTTAAGATCTGGTCCAATGATTTCAGTCCATCACTAGCTTTGCTTCATATCATGGTTAAAGAGTATGGTATATAATTTATTTATATCCCTCAATTTAGAGGTGGTAGGCACTACTAGTGTTAGTTATGTCAAATTTCTTCCATAATACTCATCAAAAGTGGCTAAAAAATTTTGCATAACAATAGGAGGTAATAGTCTTCGGTACTCCAGGTAGATAAACAATATCCTGGAAAAATAAATTGACAATGTTAACTACATCGATTTTCTATCAACAAGGATTAATGTGAGCTATTTTTTAGAACCTATAATCACTCTGCCATCGTGTTATGTAGGTAAAATCCAGCACAAAGTCCATGCTAATATCCACCTAAAGTTTTCCAGAGCATGCAGGGGATATAGATGCTGGTATTTTGAGCTTAAACCTTAGACGATTGACACACCCCACATCATTGCACAAATTCAACAATGTCAAGCCACTTGAGGCCAAAAGAGACAAATTTCGACAGTAACTATCATCTTTTCATGTCCAGTATGAGCAAAAAGGCTGCTTGAGTGGAGATTTTGGATGACAAAGTTGCAAAGAGAACCTCAAGTGAGCAAACCTGCATTACTTTGAACAAAAATTCTTGTTAGATTTTTTGTGCACTGGATAATGTTTCCAATATTGTATGGCTCATATGATGGCATATAATTCTTGCTCATATGTCATCCATTTATGCCTTGCGACACTGAGCTTCTCACTAAAAAATTCAAAGGGCCGCCTCTCCTGCATAAAGATTAAAGACTATGCCAATCCTGATCATGCATGTGTTCACTTCGACTTCGAAAATACATTCAAAATTTGAGAATATTAAGACAAGTGCTAAGGTAAGTTTTTCTTTCAAAACATTAAAGCTCAAATTTTCTCATGACCCTAATTGAATATCCATTTTTTAAAACAGTTCATGACATGATAGGTACAACAAGAGTATTAAAGTTGAATATGAATCAATGGTACAAAATTGCAAGGCCATGAAATATGCATACCGCAAGAATATTGGTCGATGTCGGCCACTCTTTAATGCTGCAAACCTTTTTTTCATCCATCTAAATACCTTAGTTTTTTATAACATATGCTAAGAATAAGAATTCCACAATAAGGAAGGTGCACTTCTTTAGATTCAGCACAAACATGCTTTGCTCCAGAACCTTTAATACTAGTCTCAAGTGTGTGAGATGATCATCCTTAATTTTGTTGTAAATTAGTTTTGTTCTCATGACCCCAATTAAATCTTCATTTTTTAAAAAACAGTTGATAATAGGTGCAGCAAGAGTATCAAAGTTGCACATGAATCAATGGTAGAAAGTTGCAAGGCCATGAAAATTGCATAGATCAAGAGTATTAGTGGGTGTCAGCCACTCTTGAATGTTACATCCACCTAAATACCTTTATTTTTTATAAGATACGTTAAGAATAAGACTTCCACAATGAGAAAGCTGCATTTCTTCATATTCAACAAAAACACGTTTTGCTCCAAAACTTTTAATACTAGTTTTAAGTGTGAGATGATCATTCTTAGTTTTCTCGTAAACTAGAATGTCGTCAAAGTAAACCACAGCACATAATCATAAGAATGGCTTCAATATTTTAAACATGTAGGGGCATGAAGGCGTTCAAGGATTTGCAAAGTCTGAATGCATAACCTGTCATCAAAAAATATATCTTGTGTTTTAAAAGATGTTTTCCATTCATATACAGGCTATGAAGCACGGATGCGGACACAGTACGTATCAATTATTAAAAAAATAAGACACGAACATGGATTGGACATGAGATTATAATTCTTATATTTAAAAATAGCGTATGGAAATTAAGTAAGCAGAATATTAAGAATAATTAAGAAATTTTAAATCATTTAAGTACGATTATTGCTTAAAATGATTATTAATAGGATGTCGAGAGTTGGACGTCGATGTCGTGTTGCATGCATCGAGAGGGGAGACGATAATGCTGTCAAAAGTCAGCATCGATCAAGAGTCGGCATCGATCAAATGTCGGCATCGAGCGTCAATGTTGAGACAACGTCAGTCGTCTGTGTTGAGATGTTCTTGGTCAAAGATGAAACGTCGAGACAACGCAGGGTGTGATTATCGGCCTAGAAATTGCTAGCGTCAAACTTTGATTTTCATATGATTTTGAAACATTGATATTGTGATGGCGTCAGACGTTAATATTGCGATGGCATCGGGCATTGTTGTGAAACCCTAGTTGCGATCTACTTGATATAAATGAAAATTGTATGATCGAGGAATGGGATATTGAGTGTGAGCAATTGATTTAGGGTTGTTGAGAGAAAATAAAAAATTGAGATTTATTTTTTAGTAAATAAAATTTTGAAATATAAGAAATTGTATTAAAAATTTTTCATAAAATACTTAAGACACTTGTGTCCAGTTTACTTTTAATATTTTTTTTAATTTCATACGTCTTTGACGTGCCCAATACATATCGGAGGCATGTCGGACGAGTATCGTGTCTGATACATGTCGGATACTGCATACCTCATTGATGAGAAGTGTCGATACATTATTGTCTACGGGTCAAATGTAGACTCGCTAATAACCAATCTTCAAATTGAATTTAGAAAAAAAAATGCTAGAGCCCTCCATCTTATCAAGTAGATCCTCTATGGATGGGATCAAGAACCAGTATTTAACTCTAATCTTGTTAATAACTTGGCATTGTCATGATGCATGGGCTTAAGCTCAATTGAATCAAATGTTTAGCTAAAAGGCATTAACAATATCCCAAAAGGCTTCACGCTCCTTGGGACTCATGTGATAATGAGGCTTGTTCAATAGAATGGATCCGAAAATGAAATCAATGTGGTGTTGTATGATCCTAAAAGGTGGGTAGTTCAAAGGGAATATGCACCACTTGAGTGATGGGGAATTTCTTAAAAATTTCAATTTTAGTAATAGTTTCAACATCAAAGTAGAATGCACTGGTGACAAGAAGTAGCACCATACAACTAAGTTTTAACTCAGCACAAAACTTGGCGCACAATGTAATGAGCATTGTTGAAGTTGGAGTCAATTTAGCTTTCAGTAAGAGAGTGAAGGATGACTTTTTATCATTTCATAAAAAATAATAGTTATTTCATACCGCATCAAATGGTATTCGAGCGTAGAGTGCCTAAGAAAGTACAAGGAAAAATGAGGAAAATATATAAGAATTACAACAAAATTCCCCACATAACAAATCCTTCATAAATCATGCATGGTCAGCCATTATAGTCGGTCTCCTTATATGAATGGTCTCTTAAAATACTCCAATTGAAAGATGCAATGTAACCTTGATTTATCACAATTTGGCCTGATATAAGAGCCTCCAAAAAATTAAATTATATTCAAAATTCTCCCTCTAAAACATATATTTCGGTTAGGCATTTAAAGAAGGAGAGTGACCATTACTATTTGGAGATCTCTAGATAGATTTGAAGGAGCGGTTGACTATATTTGGTTGGAGAATATCTAGGACTAATTTTTTAGTTGCTTTGGAACATTACAAACCTGCTATTTGAGGGAAGGGTCAGCCATGAAATAGGTGAAGTGATCCAAGTGTTCTTCATGATTGAGTTTCATGTTTTTTTATTTTAGTTTCATTGGTAAGTATGCTTTTTAATTCTTGTTTTGCATCACATCTTATAATAATGAAACTTTTTTATTCCATAGTTTCTTGTGTAAAGTGCAACAAGAGAAAACACATTGAGAAACAAAATAAGCTATCAAAACGCTCTAAGAACTGCAAAGGGATAATTTTTAATACCTCCGTTCCAGAAGTTTTGATGCTTGTCGACATGGATACTTTGCAACTGGGGTTCAATGGAGCAACCCATCGAACAGCCAAAGAGTTCCAACCATTGACAGGAAGGATTGAAACCCGTTTCGAGCAGTAGTTGCTGGTGACGGAGGAAAGCAACGCAGATGATAAAAAAAGGGAGGTGGGCGTTGCGACAGAACATCCGACGTCCATTAAAGGAAGGGTTTGGAAAATAAATAAACGAGCTTTTAGGTAAAAACAAGATACTTTGCGCTAAATGAAAAGAGCAGGGACTTCTCCTCAAAGGCTATGCATTCCAATGGCGATGAGGTTAGGGCAGAGCAGAGGAAGAGCTCGCCGCCTAGAGAGACGAGCCGGGGGAACCGAGGAGACGCTCATCAGAAAAAAAAAAAAAAAAAAAAAAACATAAGCTGCAACTAAAAAACGCAATCTAAAAAAATGGCTTGTTTTTTTCATTTTTTTTACTTTAATGTCGCAAGATTCTCTGCGATGTCGTAATAAGCCAATAACGAATTAATAAAAATTTTTCGAAAAAAATATATATAAATTTAATTAATTCACTTTTAAAATTCAGCCTTGATATGACTTTAAAATTTTAGTAATCATTAACCTCGATGTATTATTCGTATTAAAAACTTTCAAAATTAAATTTAGAATATTATCCGTATTAAAGACTTTCAAAATTAAATTTAGAATATTCAAACTATAATTTTCAGAAATTTATAGTTTAATATAATGCTCCACAATACCAACTTAATGACATCAAAGATATTCTAATTCAAGTACAAATGAGCCCAAATCAAATATATTAAGTAATGTTGGAAATTCTAGGATATTAATTGAATGTCCAAATGGCATCTAAATATTACCTATCTATGTTAAGCGACTCAACAAGACGAATCCAATGAGCTCAATGTCATTTAATTCCAAGATAATTAAGGCACCTAAATTCCGAATAAATAGTCTAAGTTTAAAGAATTTAATATTAATCATATCATCGAGCGTTATGGAATATTGGGCAAATTTATTATAATGCTACTATCAAAATATTATAAATAAACCATCATTTTATACATGGAAAAAGATGGACTTGAATTTAAAGAGAATATAGATATTGAAGAGCATTAAAGCTCTACCTGATGTTCGACACCAATGCAAGCTATTGGTATCATCTAAATATCGTCATCAGATTGTCGTCGCCTAGCCGTTGCCATATGACCACTAACGTCTGACCGACAATCCATTCTCATCATGAAACTATAGGAAAATAAAATGCCATGCAATTTTGAAATTTATATTCCTTTAATCAAATATATTTTGAGAACAACATACCATTTGAGAGAAAGAAATGATGATTTACTATCTATTTGTGAACAAAAATAGATTTTATTACTTTCATGATAAAATGCAACATAAAGAATAATGTATTATCTCAAAAGACAGAAATAATATTTCACTATCATTTTAAAAATGAAAATAGATTTTATGTAAACTTGTATACAATCCCAGAGACTTTTTCCTGATCTTAGTGAACTAAATAGGGCTTATTTTATGCTAGAGTTTTGAAATATCTATAAAGGCGAACCTTTATGATTAATTAAATATCAAGAGTAGCTCTTAAGAAAACTCTCAATTAAAATTGTGACTAAATATTTTTGGATTTCAATGATTTACATAAAGATTAAAAATTATAAATTAATTAACATATATTAGATCAAAATTGAACAATTATTTATAGAATTCATTGAATGAAAGGTAGAGAGTACTTATGATTCTGGAATACTCAAAAGCCTATATATATATATATATATATAACCTAGATTAAATTTATGGTTGAATTGATTAAATTATTAGACATGCGCGGTTATATTCCAAAAGGAAGATGATTTATGACTTCAAATTAACCTCATATCCAAGATCAAGACTGGACCATTATAAGGTAATGATTTGATCATAATCTACTCATGTGTAGGAAGTATGTATTGAGACTTGTACCTTGAAATCCAAAGAGTTCAGAAAGAGACCTGACACATATTGAAATTATGTTTACCTAGAGTGGACTGTCAGCTAACCACATAACTAGGAGGCTAGAAGAGAATTGATAAGGATTATGGAATTGAAATGGTAGGCAAGAGTGAGAATGAAAAGAGTGGTGGTGTGAGTGAAAAGAGCAAGTACATGGAAGTACATAACTTCTTGATTTATGATATTTGAGGGTGTGATTCCAATATCCTTTTAACAATTGTAGGCCTCTTCGTCAGCTGCTTCAGCAAAGCAAGGATCCACAAGTCATTAGGAAGAGCTTTCGACAAGAGCTCTTAATCACTTTCCATCGGCCATTTCAAGGACTAAGATCTTTAGGGAGGAAGAAATAGAATTTGAAAAGAGTTGAGTGAAGAAAAAACTTATTTTTTTGTCCCTTTAAATAAAAATCAACCATATCATACATTGAGATATGGTATCATACAATACAATCGGGTGCATTCAATTTATCTAATCTGATCAGTCAAAAAGGTGGTCTTATCATACAATATAATCATAATTGTACTAGACGATTAGAGTGAAGATGTTCATCCTGAGGCGCCATTCTAGATGATTGTTGACTTGTCATATCGTCTTGTACAAACAGGTATTCATACAGTATGATACTAAAAGTTTATGAAGATTTTTAGACCTCAAAGAACTAGATCGAGGCTAACCAAGAGAGGGGGTGAATTGGTTATATAAAAATTTCTTTAACAAAAATAAAATCTTTTTATAATTTTTTCAATATTTAAAAATAGATAATTTTATCACTCAATGTGGAAGCGAATTAATTTCACAATAACAAAAAGATCAGAGTTTTCAACCATACAATTAATCACAAAAAAATAAAGTGTGAAAAATAATAAGAACAAACACACTAGAATTTATAGTGGTTCGGTCCAACCTGACCTAAGTCCACTCCCCGGAAACCTTCATTCTAGGTATTGTACTAAAACTAGCGTCTCTCCTTTTGCCCTCATAGTAAGGCGGAGAAGCCCTTACAAAATCACTTTCACCAACCAGGAGCAACGAAGAATCACAAGCTTTTCAGACCCTCTAAGTGACGTTAGTGTACCTCAAAGCGTTTTCTCCTTCAAGGAAAAGGCAGAGTATCTTGAATACATTTTAACCCTCCAAGTGATTGCAGAGAATCACGACCTAGTGCTATAAACTATTTCCCCGGAGTCACAAAAGAATTAAGGAAAAAAGCTTGAAGAAGACATGTAACAACCTTGCTTGGAGTAACCTTGTTATTCCCTTACAACTCTCTCTTACAAAAAGCTCTCCCTCTCTTCTCTTCCAAAGTTCTCCTAAACTCCTTCTTTATGTTCCCTCTCAAGACACTTAGCACCTAAAAGCTTTTTGAAACAAGATAATGTGAGAGTTTAAATAGAAAGCCTATTAGGAAGCCCTAAATTTCAATATGTCATTTAAGATCATTTAGTACAATCCTACGATCGTCCTGTATGATTAGTGTAAAATAAACCTTTTAGGTAGTATGAAATGCATTGCCCTGTACGATCAATTCAAGACTATGTACTGATCGTCCAATATGATAGGCGGCGATAAATTATAGTCTCATGCAGCACTCGATTAGTATAGTATGAACTTGGGGGTTGTCATGTACAATTAGTTGAAAAATTATGATATTTCATCTTGTACAATAGGTGACGATAAATTATCTTCCCATGTATCGCTCGGGTCATACAGTATGATCATCACCAATCATCCTTTATTATTTGATTGGACAAATTAGTCCTAATTATTCCACTAATCACAAATTCAATTAGGTATTATTATCATATATCATACATTATGATGTATATCGTACGGCACGATTAGAACAAAATTTGAATTTTAAAATATTACCTCAATTATTATTTGCGGCTATTTTCATGATTATATATGATCGTTCTATATGATAAGGATTGTCCAGTGTGATTGCTTTAATCAATCTCAATTAATAGAAGTGTTATAACTAATAATTTTTCTGGTTAACTAATCATACAATATAAAGCTTCAAAAGACTGTCGAACTGATCCTACACCAAAGCTTCAAAAGCCAACGTGAAAATAGATTTTCCAAATTTTTTATGAATAAGTTCCATATGATACTCACATAACTCCTACTGAATTTGAATTTGACATATCAAGTCCACTAGAGCCTCCCGAAAGAAAATTATGAGTTCACGTTCATTCCATCGTCCATCCACAATGAACTTGTCTAAAGTCAAATCATTACTCACTGGATTCGCCACAAATGTTGGACACTTATTAATGCATTTATCCAATATCTAAACATCATTGTAAACATCAATTGAGACACCAACCACAATCTTCCATCTAACAATAGGATTAAGAAATTTTTATCATCAGAAATAATTTTATAAGAAGCTGAACCTCCCTTTTTTATCCAACCTCCTCTCACTGAGAACCATCTTTCGCTCCAAGTGTTTTATACAGCATAGACTCTTTCTCCTATACAAATTTCCAAGCCAGATTTTCCCTGAAAGGCCCAACTTTGCTTGCATATAAGTGAAGGCTACGGCAACCCCACCTAATCGGCTTGCATAATACATTCGAGTTAACATAATGAAGACTAAACCTTCCATCCCACTTATTATTCTATAAAAAAACTCCTACACATTTTATCAAGCACACCTTTAGAAACCAGAGAGTGTGTACAATGAAAAGTATGAAAGGAAAGCATTACTAATTTAATAAGAATACACTTAACCCTAAGGAGATGAACTTGCTTCCCAAAATTTGTCAATAATGAACTAAAAATCAGCCCCCACAAGCCTTCTCAAATTAATTTTCACACCAAGGTAATTGAACTCCTTAGTCGATATAAATCCTATGATACAAGAAATGGATTTTTTTTCCTCCTCTTAACATATTTTTTTGAAAAAGAATATCAAATTTATTAACATTTATCCTCTGCCCCATCCAACTACAAAAATCCATTAAAATACCCTTGACCTCCTTCACAACCTTAGTGTTAGCTTCAGAAAAAATAATAATATCATTTATATACAACAAATGAGAGATCCTCGTGCCATTTTGACAAATTCAAACACCAATTGAATCACCTTTTTGAATAAAAGCATTAGATAAAAGTTGAGAGCAAAGAATAACTAAAAAAGGTGATAAAGGACAACCTTGAAGGAAATCGCTCCTTGCATCGATCCAATTGGGAAAGCTCTCATTAATCACTAACAAGAATCTTGGATCTTCAACACATTACATAACCATTGTGGAAAACTTAAGGGAGAATCCAAAATACTCCAAAATTTTCCTCAAGGTATCCAAACTCATACAATTATAAGCATGCTCCATATAAATTTTGAAGGAGACTAAACCTTTAGAAGATTTAGAAA